GCGAAAAGCTAAAGACGAGCGATGCTGAATATAGCACTCTATAAATTCCCAGAAATCTAAAGTCAGATATTCTCAAGAATAATATGCTAAACGATTTACTGAAATACTTACTTTTATCCTGATGGTTAAAAGGTGAATTCATGTTTAATAGGCAATGTTTTCGTGATAAAAAAGAGAATATCTCTAACCCTGTGATTTCTAACAATAGATAACCTTGCGCTTGCAAGTAGGTCACGTCCCACCGGAATACGGATTTTTTTCTTTTGCTTTTCAAATCAAGATACCAAAACCCGTAAAACCGGTTCTGTATCGGAAAATAACAAACCAAAATTAGGGGAACACCTACATCTTGAAGTTTAACACCTACATTCAATACTTTAGGAAGCTCTATTGGTGAGATACTGACAACCACCGAATTATCACACAGTAAGTACCTCTCTCTTCTTTCTCTTTACTGAGAGAAGGAAATTCATTCTGCTTGCATTTGAAATGATCTACCTACTTTGATTGTCTGGAGATCAGACGCGACGGCTAAAGTTATTTTCGCAAGTTGCCTTTTTGACTTGAGGTTGCCAAATCCTCGAAGTTCTTTGTTTTATCTATTTTCTTTTAAACTATAAAATTTCGTTCGTCGTTAAAGGTAGTTGACCTGTTGAAAGTCTTATACCAGACAAATTTGATTACTTCACTGAAAAGATGATTGTTCTCTATGATCGAGCATTTGCCACGTGCTCTGAAGGCCACAGAACTTCTCCATCATTACATCGTGAAACTGAAGGTTTGTCATAATCTGTTGCTGGTATAAAAGGCAACCAAGATAAGAAGATAACTTCGTTTGTTAAAAAAAGAAGTATAACCGTTGGTACGCACATGCAATGTCCTGAAGACAAACGCAGAGGCCAAAACAACAACATTTCTAAGGTCATGCACAGGCAGCCCAAGATCCAGTTGTGAGATGATCACCTTGCGCAATAATAGTCATGGCGGAATTATTAGAGTTTGTATGGGAGCATTTGCGACCGCTCTAATGAATGAAAAAATGCGTCAAATACTCGATAAAGACAACGCGATGATGGAGAGTTTGAATTTAGATTTTCTACATGGTAGATTCCGGTTTTATTTACATCTTGTAGGGAAAACATTGCCGAAAATGCATCCACAACGTGGATTAATTTTCAAACGACCTATTAAGCTAGCAAAGGTTTAAAAGCAGGCTCAAGCATGCAAATGTGACGTGTCAAAAGTACCACCAAAGCGTCGCTGAGAAATTATGGAACACGCTTGTTACTGAAGACTCCTGGTTACGGGTTTGAAGCCATTTGTGAAATCTACATCTTAACAACAGTATTACGGGTCCTAGCCATCCTTATTCTGTCAGATGATTAAAAGGGCTGGCATGTATAGACAGCTTATTCCCTATATAAATCACCAAATCATTTTTTGTTGCAGAATTTGTGCAAAGCTGTAGACGAAGCCCTGACGAGTCAAGACTTTGCAACGTAGAGAAAGGAAAGGTGGGATAACTGAACTAGTAAAGGAAGTTATAATCATTGGAATCTCGTAAAGTTTAAGTTATTGATTAGGTAGAGGCAAAAAGCTTCAAGTAATGTGGCTCTTATAATGGTGGTCATATTCCAAAGCCCAATCATTCTAATTCACAGTTGCTTCCCTAGGCTTGCTGTATTTTCACGATATCCAAAATTAATTTCACTCTATTAGCGAAAAACTTCAATAGGTAAGTTCCGTTCCCTACAACTGAGGTTACAAATCCCGACACCATTTGATTAAACGCCTCTAGACTCTTGAACGCCTTGAACTGCTTCTTGGTGTAGAAGCTGGTCTCAAGAACGAGGTAACTCAGCAAATCCGACACTTCCACAAGAGGCAAGCATTTTGGACTGAACTTCTCGGCTGTCACGCTTGCAGGGTCAACCGCGATGACCGAGATCTTTTGTAAACATCTTTCCTTCCAACTCTCTAAGCTTTCGGCATACTCAGAGAGCACTGGGATACCTTAAGATGAATGCCAGATACTTTTATCGCTTTTTTCTTTCTGGATATTCATGTAGTTGGCGAAATAATACGGCGATAAGAGAGAGGGCTTCACTATAGAAATCGACTAATTATGCATAAATTTGACACCCGAGGGACACCAACATGGCGGATACTAACTTCAGCAAAGCTTGTGACGTCACCTGAAACCCAAGAATAGCACTCTATAAATTCCCAGAAATCTAAAGTTAGATATTCTCAAGAATAATATGTTAAACTATTTACTGATGGTTAAAAGGTGAATTCATGTTTAATAGGCAATGTTTTCGCGGTAAAAAAAGAGAATATCTCTAACCCTGTGATTTCTAACAATAGATGACCTTGCGCTTGCAAGTAGGTCACGTCCCACCGGAACACGGATTTTTTTTTTTTTTTTAAATCAAGATACCAAAACCCGTGAAACCGGTTCTGTATCGGAAAATAACAAACCAAAATTAGGGGAACACCTACATCTTGAAGTTTAACACCTACATTCAATACTATAGGAAGCTCTATTGGTGAGATACTGACCACCTCCGAATTATCACACAGTAAGTACCACTCTCTTTTTTCTCTTTACTGAGAGAAGGAAAATCATTCTGCTTGCATTTGAAATTATCTACGCACGTTCATTGCCTAGAGATCAGACGCGACGGCTAAAGTTATTTTTACAAGTTGCCTTTTTGACTTGAGGTTGCCAAATCCTCGAAGTTCTTTGCTTTATCTATTTTCTTTTAAACTATAAAATTTCGTTCGTCATTAAAGGTAGTTGACCTGTTCAAAGTCTTATACCAGACAAATTTGATTACTTCATTGAAAAGATGATTGTTTTCTATGATCGAGCATTTGCCACGTGCTCTAAAGGCCACAGAACTTCTCCATCATTACATCGTGAAACTGAAGGTTTGTCATAATCTGTTGCTGGTATAAAAGGCAACCAAGATAAGAGGATAACTACGTTTGTTAAAAAAAGAAGTATAACCTTTGGTACGCACATGCAATGTCCTAAAGACAAACACAAAGGCGAAAACAACAACATTTCTTAGGTCATGCACAGGCAGCTCAAGCTGCAGTTGTGAGATGATCACCTTGCGCAATAACAGTCATGGCGGAATTATAAGAGTTTGTATGGGAGTATTTACGACCGCTCTAATGAATGAAAAAATGTGTCAAATTCTCAATAAAAATACCTCATCTTACTTCCACAGTGTATCGCTTGTCATCTGACCGTTTACTTTCATGAAAAGAACCCATACGAGCGAGTTGTCGCTAAAATGGGTTCTTTTTATCAAAGTAAGCGGTCAGATAACAAGCGTATTTTTTTATTCCTTAGAGCGGTCGTAAATACTCCCATACAAACTCTTATAATTCCGCCATGACTGTTATTGAGCAAGACGATCATCTCTCAGCTGGCGCTTGGGCCGCCTGTGGGTCACGACGCTTTAGCTAAACAAACCTCGATAAAGACAACGCGATGATGGAGAGTTTGAATTTAGATTTTCTACATGGCAGATTCTGGTTTTATTTACATCTTGTAGGGAAAACATTGCCGAAAATGCATCCATAACGTGGATTAATTTTCAAACGACCTATTAAGCTAGCAAGGGTTTAAAGGCAGGCTCAAGCATGCAAATGTGGCGTGTCAACAGTACCGCCAAAGCGTCGCTGAGAAATTATCCAACACGCTTGTTACTGAAGACCCCTGGTTACGGGTTTGAAGCCATTTGTGAAATCTTCATTTTAACAACAGTATTACGGGTCCTAGCCAGCTTTATTCTGTCTCGCTTGTTAGATATTTTCACTGCTTGATTGATATCTTGTCCTTGAATGCACGGGCGGTGAACAAAAAGAGAGAGAGGCTTTTCTTTTACCGCAATCGGTGACAACCGGAAATGGGCCTTATGGCCTACGTTTTTACGATAACCGGAACAAAAAGGGTTGAAGCCATTTTTTAAATCTATATCTTGACAACAGTATTACGGGTCCTAGCCAGTTTGTTCTGTCTCGTTTGTTAGATATTTTCACTGTTTGATTTTTAAAGCTATTGATATCTTGCCCTGGAATGCACGGGCGGCAAAAAAAAAAGAGAGGTTTTCCTTTTTCCGCAATCGGTGACAACCGGAAATGGGCCTTTGGGCTTACGCTATTTCGATGACCGGAATAAAAAAGGGTTACAACCATATTTTAAATCTATATCTTAACAACAGCATTACGGGTCCTAGCCAGTTTATTCTTTCTCATTTGTTAGATATTTTTATTTTTGAAGCTTATGATATCTTGCCCCGGAATGCACGGGCGGCAAACAAAAAGAGAGGCTTTCCTTTTTCCGCAATCGGTGACAACCGGAAATGGGCCTTAGGGCTCACGCTATTTCGATAACTAGAATAAATTATAATTAGGGTGCGGTCACTATTCGTCGCCTTGGGAGAGGTTGGATAACTTTGGCTGTGTCACGACAAAATTTACTGATCTCCCAAGACTCTATAATGTTCTTATGATATCGTGGCAGATAGTGGGTGGTTAATTTTCATAGTCCCCCTAGTTAGGAGCCCATTACTTATGGCTCCTGCCCCTGTATACTCTGTCAGCCGTGGCTGATCCCCACTACATTCTAACTGAAAACCATGTGATCCCCCCGAAAAAATTTACCATCCCTTCCCAGACGATAAATTATGACTGGTTCCTTCAACGTTTCGAAGCGAGCTTCAGCGTTTTCAATCAAAAAATACTACTGATTTTGTCTTCAAATAAACTTTTGGAACATTACGGTCAATCCAGTCAATTCCCGTCCCATGTTTGGAACAAAGTTCAGGAACCAAAAATGAGAACGGAACTGGAACATGATATCATCATGATGTGTTCCACAAGGTAATGGAACATGAGAAAAGGGAGGTTACGCATTGTTCCGCCTCATTTACGTATCTACATCAGATTATAAAATAAGCGAGATACTACGAGAGCGATCCCTGATTGTTTACAAACCCGTCGCTTAATTGTTCCAGTAAACCCAGAGAAAACTGAAACATACTGTGCTTTGTTTTTACTTTATTTCGTAAATGAATAAAACCACACTTCTCACGGGCTTACCAGACTGAGAGGGTTATTTCGCCAGTAAAACCGATAGAAGGTACAGACTATCGCATAGCAAAACTAGGAATAATACGGGTGCTTTTATCGAAAGGGTTTATGCTAGAATGCAATGTTTTGGTTTACTGGTAGGTGGGCCGATACAGGTAGAACGGGTGAGAGAAGGAGTTCATAAAATTTTCAATGAACACGCTGCTTTCACTCAAATTTTGGGCCTTGCATTCCATTTTATTGACAGGGTTTTCCTTTAAGCACCAGTAGTTTTGATATTCGTTATAAACATTCCTTTATAAATATTAATTTATTATTCGCAGATGTCTTCTTCCAAGTTCGTATCCCCTTGTCACGGTGACAGTATTACGGTCTACAACTCTACCAGCGGAGCAGTCAAGTGTCAGGCCTGTACCACATGTCCTGCAGGACATGGGCTTTCTGTGCAGTGCAGTTCCGTTCAAACCCCAGAGACACCCATAGTTTGCGAGCCATGTGTGCTTGGGAAAACATACTCGTCTGGAAAAGACGCCGGGGCATGCATGAGCTGTCAGAATTGCGAGGAGTATCGCGAAACCATAAAGGCCTGCACCCCGACTTCCAAGGCAGTTTGTGGAAAGTGTAAGCCTGGTGGTTACCAAGATGACCTCCTAACAGGAATGTGCCAGCCCTGCTCCCCTTGTTGTGATGACCAAGATGATTTAGTCGAGCCACAGTGCCGAGGCATGCCCAAAAATAAGCAGTGCAGTGTTCTCAGATCACATAAATGCAGTAAAATGATTTCTGATCGAAATGTCAGCACAGTCAGGTCCGTGGAAACAAACCACACAGCATCACTGGTATTGGTGTCATCTCCCACAAGCCACGTGTCTACCCCACGGAGCACGTACGCTGCACACCAGGGGACCCCTATGGCTGATAGTCCTTCGGAAGTCATAACCATTGGTGCTGCTGTCGGTGGATCATTAGCGTTGGTCCTGTTGCTGTTGGTGATTTGCTATTTGCTTAAGAGAAAGCGCAATCATCGAGTAAATAAGAAGGCTAATGATACCGAAAGGCAAGAAACACGTGGCAACGAAGAGGTTGGTGAGATCTCGATTGATCTAGACCAGTTAAACAAGGAAAGGTTACTTCCATCAGAGAAATACTCCTTGGACGAAAGGAACGCCACCTCGCCAGCGACCACGGAAACTCGACCACATGTCCAGAACAGTACAGGTAAGTGAACTACCATAACTAATCAAGCTTTGAAAACTTTTATCTAACCCGCTTTAAAGATTGTCCCTTAGCTTGATAGCTTCTTTTATTTTTATTTCGAATAGTTCCAGATTCCTGCAAGCTATCAGTAGAGGAAAGCGAGGCTACATCGCAAGGTATCAAAGAAACTCAGCCACCGGACTACAACAACACAGGTAGACCCTTGTGATCTGCGCGGTCTTAACACTTGTTACGATGCCTTCAAACGTGATACGTGACCGATCCCCTCAATCTATCTTTCCATCGTAAACTTCTTTTGCTCTACATACTGTGGAGGCTTATGAGAAATAGTTAAGCAATTAAGGGCAGAGCCAGGAATTTTTCATTAGTAGGGTTCCAAAATTACTTCTAACCCCAGATGGGAGGGGTCCGGTTCCCCCTCCCCCCCTCCCCACTTTAAGGCTGCCACTAGTAAGTTGGTAAGTGATAAAATCGTTACTTTAATCGGAGTAACGACTTGTATAGTTATCCGGCAACAAAGTAAGGTTGTTCATAGCCAAAACAATTTCTTTCACAGAAACTATGAAATAGAGAGTTTCAGAAATTTTGAAACAAAAGTATAAAATCTTAGGTTCTTTTAATCACTTCATTGTTGCAAACCGGTTAAATATAAAGGGAGGCACGTGCAGGCGTGGAAGTGTCTCGATTGAAAACTTTGATTATACCTGATTTTTGAGTTGTTCTCTTTTGGCTCTTCTGTTTTTAGAGCACAAGGTGGTCATGAATTCGAAGGCTCCCAAATTCAGCTGTTGTCACACTAAGGTGGAAAGGACCACTATAAACACCGTGAGGTACTGTAAAACTTGTGATCCAAAGTCTCCAGCGTGTACAGAAATCTGAAGAACGATTAGATAGATTATAGAGAGATTTAGCACCGCGTTTACGCGAAACAGAGTATAACCAGTAGAAGTGTGAAGAACGGTTAGATAGGTAATAGAGATGATTTAGCACCGCGTTTGTGTGAAACGGCAAACGCCAGCATGCCCTTTCACGTTTTACGTAAAATAGCGTGAACCTTGCTTCTCTAGCTTTGCGTGAGTTCATCAGGGCATGGAGGCTTTGAAGGCGCCCTTGTGTGTCAGACTTACATGGAATAGTTTAGGTGCCCTTTTCCAGCAATTACCCTCTACTCTAAGATAAAAACAGTGAATAAAATCCTACCTAAACGGCAAACGCGTTAGCAAAGCCATGTTTCAAAATCAAAATTTGACGGATATAGAAGCTAATTATTCCATTGTTACCAGTCCATCTTGTTTCTTGAGCTGGCAGTTTTGTTGTACAATTGTTATAACTTTTAAAACCCTCATCTAGACTGAACAGAACACTTAACGGGCTCTCTAAGCCATTGGCACCTTCGAGAAACAGGTCCATTGCGTAAACTAGACAGGGTGCGATGCGTTTTAAGTTAATAGCAGTTCTTTAACCCTTTACACCCTAACATCAGTATGCATTTTCTCTACGCTGCTCTCTATACATTTCCTAGAGTGCTGTCAAGGGGAATTTACTTAACAATCAAGAGCCTCTTTAGTTAGGGATCATTTACTTTATTCTCGTCACCTTAATGTGTGATTCAGGGGTGATATTTTCTAGGAAAATTCATTACTTGACGAGGGAATTCCTCATTAAATTGCACGCGAAAACCGATATCGCACGAATCGCGAAGCGATGAGTGTGATATCGGTTTTCAAGAGCAATTTAATGCGGAATTCACGAGTGGAGTAATGGATTTTCCTTGAATCGCATAACTTAATAAAAATGAGTAAAAAAAGGAAACAGCATTACTCAAAACTGTTATGTTTATGTAGATGCGAAATAATGGTAATAATGCGCAATGATGATATAAATGAAGATGACAAATTTTAAACCTGGCGATTTTAAGTGAACAGCGATATCGATTAGTAAATGACCCAGGCCTGCTCGGAGAAAAGAAAATCAATTATAGCAGGAATAAATTTTCTAGTCGTCGATATCAAATTATTACAAGAATTCGTCTCTAGAAGATTTAGCTAAGTTTCTTACATTTGATAACATGTTGAAACATACAATTTACTGCTCGATCGAAATTGTGGCACTACTGTATCGTATTGCCCAAGGTAAACTGTATTGTCTGGAGTTATTTATGTTTAGTTTTTGAAAAGCATACTTGAGCAAAAAATAGCATATATTTCAAAAACCAGCATAATTTTAAGCATAATTGGAAAATAATGAGTAATGTTCGTAGCATAATATGCTTCTTTTGTTAGCATTATACATCTCAAAGGGCTTAGAGTCCCTTACTTGTGTTTGTACGTTATGGCTTTGGTTAACTCGCTACTAGAATTTATCTTCAGAGCGATTTATGAATAAAACCCTTTAAAAGTTAACATGCTAAGGAACAGTCGCTGTGTGCTGTTTTTTCCCTTGGGACTTAGAGACATGCCAAACTATCATGAGTCTGAATTCAACGTAACTTTCAGGTCGTAGAAAGTTACACCTTTTGTAGTTTTGTCAAAGTGAGACCGGGAAAAAAGATGAGGCGCTTTACGCGGTGGCCGATTATATACAAAGTTTGTCTTCTTAGCTGATGAGACGCCAGCTCATGCTCTATCTCCGAGCGGCGCTCAGAGATAGAGCATGAAAAAAAGGAAACGATTGATAGACTGGGGACGAGGAAACGCGGAGCGCATGTGTCAAATATCGTGACTGTCATTTTACGAGAACTGCGTCACATAACAGGATATCAAACAGAAGCAGCATATAAGCATGAGGTAAAAAATGAGGTCCCTTTTTCTATTTAATTTTCTCGCCAAAGCTGTTGCGTGGAAACAAACAAAAAAAAGCACAAGGAGGCGGTGTTTGAATCAGAGTTCTTTCCGAAAAATTCTGAAGTCGAGAGTGATAACCGAAAACCAAGAATTATTGTACGTAGCTTACACAGCGCAAATCACAATTGACGTGACTGAAGATACATTAACACATTTTATTCAATTGTCAGTTTAATTAGCGGTGCAATCATGCAATAGTCAGTGATATCCACCCCCTAGTTAAAATTTCATTCCATATCTGAGTACCACAACACGACTGACATTCTAATATCCTGGAAAAGTGCATCGTTTACGATTTGAATTGTTTGGTTATTAACAAAAATTACAAACTGTCATTAACTTCATCGTTTGAAATCACATCTTAAAGGTACTGATTAGAACTGTGTCACAAAACAGTTAACCCTTCAAATCTCATAAATGATCAACATGTAACTTCTCCCTATGGTAGCCATACATAATCCAGCAAACAGGTTATGAGAATACTCAAACTTATCAAGTAAGAGTTGTGACCTTTGATCAAACATCAAATTCTCGTAACTAATTTACAAGTGTAGCAGCTAGAGGGGAGAATTCACATGCAATCAGATGGTGGGAATTAAAGAGTTAAAGGGAAACAACCTGATACATGACTAATTAAGTTATTTGGATTTTTGATCACAGAATTCGTTCGTATGCAACTAAATGAGGCTTTTAAAGAGGGTTAAAATCGTAGCACTTTCAAAATTTTCCCTTAGTAAACTTATCACTGTTCAAAATCTTTACTGTGGGACGATATAGAACTCATTATAGTTTCGTATCCAAGTCCCACTCGTGTAGATAAACGCAGGAGGTCGGCGAACAAGGCCAGAAGTTATTAGTTTATTATGATGGACATTGATTTCCATACAAATGCGCAAAATAGCCTGCATCCTTCTTTAACAACACTTCCGGTTTGTCCAGTTCTACGATTTTTCCCCGGTCAAGCACCATAACGCGATCGTAATCAATAATTGTGCTCAGACGATGAGGAATTGTAATTACAGTGCTGTCAAGGAACCAACTTCGAATAACTTCCTGAATGAGGCGATCGGTTCTGTAATCCACGGTGGACGACGCCTCGTCTATTACAACGACTTTGTTTTTCTGAAGAAGCGCACGAGCAAAGGAGATGAGATGGCGCTCACTTGGACCCAGGGAAGATCCACAGTCCACGAGGTCCTGGTGCAACTGTTTGGGAAGGCTCTCGACCCAGGACTTCAGATGACATTTCTCAAGCACTTCCCAGATCTCCCTCTCAGTATGACTAAGGAATGGATCTACGTTCATGCGCAGTGTGCCCATGAAAAGGATTGGCTCTTTGGTGATGACTGATATGCCACGCCTACTCGCTTGAAGGTTAAGGCTGTTGATTTTGACATCGTCAATCATTATCTTACCTGCACAGTCTGGAACCATTCGGAACAGTGCATTTATGATAGATGACTTTCCAGCACCCGGCCGTCCTGCGATGCCAAACCTCTCCCCAGGGTACACAGTAAAAGAGATTTCTTTTAACACCCTGGACCCCTCTCGAGTGTAGCTCAAGGAAACGTTTTCGAAGCTGATTGCGCCGTCTTTTGGCCACGGCACCGGAGGTTGGATCTCCATGGCGTACCCAGGTTCTGGTACAATTTCAGCGCAGGCCAAGTTACGATGAACAGCACTCATATAATTTTCCACTTCAAAGCAGCGTTTGACGCCATTCTGCGACACATCATTTAACAACTGAAGAGTATAGATCAGGGACAGAATGGTAATGGCTGAAAACAGTTTAAAAATAGGGTTAGTCTTTTCCTAACAAAATCCCTAAAATATTTGTCCAGTCACCCTCCCAATGTACTTGTAATGATCCACGAGCTATCCAATCGATAAGGTCGATTTCAAGCGATACCAAATAGATATTGCGCATTCAAGATAAAAATTAGTGACAATGATTTTGAACGACGTTTCGACTTCGCTGAGGTCATTTTCAAGCTGATGAAAAGGAAACTTTTTACATATATGTACTAAATTCAAGACGTGGGAATGATAAAGGCGATAAAATATGGAAATATGTAAATGCTAGGCGTAAAATAGAAGTGATAAAATTGCAAAGGAGACAATACGAATAAATTAAGATGAGAGTTGACGTCAACTTGGACGCCTGGGAATTATCCAAGTTTGTGGATAATCTGATTTGCAAAACCGGTCAGAACCTGTTTTAAACACGTTTTTATGCGCACGCATCCTATTTAGTTAGTCGAGTACTACCGGGAACTAATTTGTTTCTAAGCAATAGGCCGCGCATGCTCGAAGAAAATTTAACAGGCCGAGCGCAGAGGACTTTATTTTTACGTGGACCGTAGGGGAAGTTAACAAATAAACGCCTCTGCCAGCAGGGTATACGACCTGTAGAACGAAGCGTACCGAAGACTTACTTAAAAGTGAAAAATTTCTCACTTTCAAGTATTTTTAACAAATGTGATGCATGTTCTGGTGTGGTGTATATAACTTGTACTTAATGTATACAGAAATGTACATAGTCGATCTTAATAAGTTTTCATTGTATTATAACTCGTTGATTCAATAAGTTAAAGCAAGAGAGTTTAATAAGCTGTTATTATTCATTAAAAAATACCTGCATCCAGCTTCACGTAAAACGCTCCAGCAGCCACTGAGACAATGAAGAGTACACACACTGAGTCGAGGCGGAACCCGATCCAGCTCCAACATGAGGTTGTCATGCACCATCCTTGACTGTGAGAGTCCTGGTAACTAACAGAAAGCCACATCGCGAGTTTCATATCAATATGAACATGCATACCAATAATCGCAAGATAGAGTTATTATTATATCATGATCCTTGAAAAAAGTGAAAGACGAAGCTTTGACATGTTAAAATTCCGAGCGTAAAACGCTTTCCAGGACAAAAAAAAAAAAACTCATTATCTTATCAGCTATTCGCTTTATCTTCTGACCCCCAAAATACACTTTGTTCAAATACGAATAAAAGAGACATTCGACAATCAGCATTAATTATTTTTTAAGTAGTAATCGCCAGAATCATTCTAGTGAGTCATATTCAGACATAATTAGGTTTTGGTCCAAGTTACTCAGTCTTTTAGTGTCGTTGTAATGGATTCTGGTAAATGAAGCTTCTTCATGTCAAGCAAAATCTAAATCAAAACATTTGCACAAACCCATAAAAGTCCTCTGTAAATGACATCTGCATACTGTGAGTCCTGATCGTCACTAGGCCCATCAGTGTCTCCGAGAAATGGGATACCACTGGCTTTCGAGAGCTGATCTCCAGTCTTCTAACTTGACGCGCGGTCTTGAGTGAGAAACCCCATAATAAGAGAAACATAACGAAGAGCGGTATTCCACCTAAAAGCACGCACGGATTGAGTATCACTGGCAGAAGAAAGGCTGAGATAGCGAATAGCGTTATTTGAATGGCGCGCAGAAATACACTTGGCAAAAGTTCATCCATGCATCCAATGTCTTTTGAGAAGCGGTTCAAAATGCTAGGGGATGAATTAGTGTCAAAAAATGAGACTGGAGCACGGAGAATAGAGACTACCATGTTCTGGTGGAGGCGTTCGGACGAACGTAAGGTGGTGGCGAAAAAAAGTGAAGCACGCATGATTGACAGCATGAATACTCCGCCCACCATAGCGGCATAAATATACCAACTGGTCTGATCCAAGTTCAACAGAACAGCAGACTCACTCATGCGCAGTAGCCACATGTCCGGGATGAGAACGGCTCCTGCAAAACAACGAGAAAGCTTATTATCCCCGAACTGTGTTCCCTTGCATTCATAGAGTGGGTAAAGGAATAGCTATATGAAAGGAGCTGTGCGAAGCCGATCTAGACAAGAAAGCTAACGTCAGTTTGCAAGAGTAGAAGAATTGGTAAGAATAAGTTTTCTTATAGTAACAATCCATCAAGTGCTCGAGGACAAAGCTAGGTTTTAGAATGCATGCACCTCGATGTTAATCAGGAAAAAAGTGTATTCAAAATAAAAAAAAATGGTATGCGCCAAAATGCTAAGAGATTCTAGCGTATAACACCCCTCTATTAAGTCTCAAGTCTGGAACCCTCCTCTCGTAGCCTTTTACTTACGAGGAGGCATTATTTTCTCCCGTGCGTCTTACCTTGAACGGCGAAGGTAAACATGGCAAATATAACGATGAATGGAAGACAGGCACCAGTTCTGAGATAATTCCACAGAACTGTACATGACACTGGCCCCATCATTTCTTCTTCTTCAAACAGATTCGAACGAGTGCGATACTTTTCCTGAATTTCCTCGCCGATTGAAAATTCAACCGTCTTATTACTGGGACATTTCCTCTCCCTCTCACGCGATTCCCCGGGCGAGTGGAGCTTCACGGACCGGTATCCCATCACCTGTGACGTCACTTCGTTTACAATCGTCCCAGCGCGCATGGTCAGAATTTGATCCGCTCGCTCAACGTATTGTAACTGGCGGCTCGCTAGAATTCGTATTCTTTTTGAAAGCAGCCCACACACACATTTTCCAAACACCTGCTCAGCGACTCTCGCATCGACAGGAGCAAAGGGGTCGTCCAACAGATAAATATCGGCGTCTGAATATGCTGCCCTTGCAATTGCCATGCGAGCTTTCTGATCATCCGTCAAACTGAGGCCGTTACTCCCAACAAAAGTCAAGTCGCCATCCGAAAGCTTGTCAATGTCCTTCTGTAAGTTGCACGCATTCACTATGGCCTGATATCTAAATGGATTATACGGTTTACCGAACAATATGTTTTGACGAAGAGTGTTGGAGAAAATCCAAGGTGTTTGGGACACATACGCAATCTTTCCAATACAGGAGATGTATCCTTCAGATGGAGGGAGTTCCCCGAGGATAGCTGCAAGCAGGGAGGATTTTCCGCACCCCCCGGGACCATTGATTAAGGTCAGCTCCTTGCTAGACGCCCTGAACGTAATGTTCCTCAGAACAACAGACTTATTTCCGCCTCCCCAATGACAAGACACATTTTCAAAGGTCACGTGGATATCGTCGGATGGATCGTCGGGTGCATCAAGAGACCGCTGCTTTATCAGTACAGGCTCATACTGTGGGACGCTCTTTCCAGATCTTATGTCACTGGAAATCTTCGTGATATCTTCAGCAGAGAGGTACCTCGACATCTCGGCATCAGTCAGATCTAAAAAAGAGCGGATCTTAGAGCGGGTTCTCTTCCTGCTGTACGTGTCTTCCGAGTACACGGATTCCTCGAGCTCCAGAAATGTTTGAATTCTCCCAAGAGATCCTGTTACAGCACCGATAAAATTGACACCAGCGGCAAACTTTGATGAGGCAGACAAACGGATTGTCCTTATCAGTGCAAGGACCATGAAGATGCTGTAAGTGGTTAACTCCGCTCCTGTGATGATGAGAACTGTTAGCGATATAAAACATGCCACAATGGAGCTTGTGTGTAGGAAGGTCGCAAACGTTGATAGGATGGCACTCTTTTGTCGGACATACTGTAGTTCCTTCCTGTTGAAGATCAACATTTATTCTGCTGATGACTACGTTCGAAGGCAAACACACTCATCAGCAACTGAAACTAATTCAGAATGCCAATAAAATATTATCTGTAAAAAAAAAGTGGTGCCTGACTGTTCAAACATGTTTTATAGCAAAAATGAAAAGGAAGAGCCCTTATCTTGAAGAAGCTATATTGGAGCACAATTATGCCACCTCTTGAAAGTACCACACTTGCTGCTACCGAAAATTTCAAATACTCAGTATCCGGAACAATTTTTGCTAAATAGATGCCCTTCAAGGCAAGGAAACGCCAATATGCTATACAACATGATCGTCATATGTAGATCTTTCTTTTGCCGAATTCAAAATCTTAGTTACTGTCTTAGGATAAAAAGGTTAAGTGGCAATACAACCAATGGTGCCTCTGACCGCGACTTGTGGCTTCTGTTGTATGAAGCATCTAAGAGTATTGCTATTATCCCTAAATATGATGTCATTCCATCGCAGATTCATCATTCATCATCTCCCCCCCCCCTCCCCCGTTGCATTTTCTCTATTTTCCTTGGAAGTTCGCCAGTACTCATCAATACATATTTCTGGGTGAAGATTGAAGGGTCTTCGTAAGAACAAAAAAACAAAAAAAAACTCAGTTGGTCTTAAGCCAGAACCTCGCGATCCAAAGAGGACTCATGCCGTGAGAGGTATCAATTGTTTGTACGATTAAAGACACTTTTTTCTGCATTTCTGTTTTCTTACTGAGTCATTCGTGATCTCTCATACCTTCGTATTTCTTCGACTTTCCTCTTGTACGGCCATTCCCACGTGTTCATCTTGATCGCACGGATTCCGTTGACAATGTGTTTCATAATCCCCATTCTCCGCTCAGTCCAACGCGCAATGCGCAAGCGCAATTTCATACACACGTCCCACATACCGATGTAATAGGCCAGGAGGAAGATTAAGAAAATGATACCGGATACAGCTTGAAAACCAACAAGGCGCCAGAGCAGGGCCGTCACGGTGACAAGCTCTACCAGCCCCTGCAGAATGTATCCCACTTTATGAAAATTTTGATCCAGGCGCTGAGCATCATGGGTAACCAAAGCGATGATGTGACCAGGTTGGACCCGCGTGAGATCTTTGAGCCGTAACTTGAAAATCTTGAAGACGACAAGAAATGCTCAGATATTCGATTTTCAAATCGATTGTTATTTTATCATGTCTTGATTCAAAGCGCTGGAATTAAAGCACGAGATAATAGTCAAATATAATTGCGGTATTCTTGGAGGGCACGAGATAAACCCTATATAAAAGTTACGATGGGCATAAATATATTAAGCACTCCTGACAACACCTTCTCAAACATTCTACCGATAACCAATCGAGAAAAATCATTTTCTATGTTGTCCATAATAGGGCAGTTTGTTTACCTTTCACCCAACCGCGATATTTACTGACCCAATGCAAAATATTGTTATTGTACGATAAGCTGAATTACACACGCACTCTCACTGGTCCTCACTCATGGTCTATTGGAGGACAGAACCATAGATGACGTCACCATAAGCAACGTTTGCGTATTTATCGTGGGTCTGAACAGTTTTTGTGTGCTTCATGTGCCATTTCTTGTTCTTAACGCATTTTGACATCACAATCATGTGATTCATTATTTGTTAAATAGATGAAAAGGCGTTTTGGCGAGTTTATACGAATGCCTAAGTAATGTTGAGTATAAAGGGGGTAGTTTTCTAAAGAAACTGTGGTGCTGTGTCAGTGGGAGTAACAAGATCTTTTGGGTTCTATCAACTGAGTTGATAATGTAAAATGGCTACCGTAAAAGGTTTCAAAGCTGACGTTTCGAGCATTAGCCCTTCATCAGAGCAAATGAAGAAGGGCTAACGCTCGAAACGTCAGCTTTGAAACCGTTTATCGTCGCCGATTTACATTATCGACTCATGAGTTCATGAAACCCAAATTATCCTCTTTTCCATGGACTCTGTCTCAAGGCAATAGAAGAGAAGAGCTGGAATCAAGGTTCCACGACAGTAGATATAATTTATAAATGGACTGATCTGGCTGCACTTTTCTGATATACGACGAAATTTCTTTACGATTTGCCCTATGTATTAGGCTATCCGCTTTGTCATTTCTAAGTCAATTATCATTTCTTTTCTAAAATCGTTACCTTCTTGTAAACGATACCAATGGCAGCTGCCCTCCAGCGCATGCCCATGTAGTCCACCTTGCTCTGATACTGATTCAGTGCCAACACGTGAAACAAAGCACTGCAACAAAGCCCACCAGCAAACAAACAAAGCCAGCGGTCGTATCGCATATTTCCAAGATGCAACATTGACGATAAAAGAAGACCAAGTAATAGAGGCTGTAGAATATTACAAGCCACGGCGATAAAAAGAGACAGACCTGCAAGGGCGTAATCGCCCCACGGTAAAACTCTCATCATTGCTCTGGAAAGTCGCGCCTTTCGTCCCTTGATGTGCGAGTTTCGTATTTCCTCGTGCCATGTTTGTTCCAGCTTTTCTGTCAGACCTCTGCATTTGTCTTCGTCCAGAAGGGGATAAAGGTCACTGTGTTCCAGAACCCGTTTGCTGCCGATATTCATAAAGTTGTTCATCCAGGAGAAAAAGAGACGCGACAGAATTCCCGCTCGTTCCTTCGGGTTTTTCATAAACAGTGAATATTTCCATGATTTGTCAAATGCAGACTGCATGCTCAACGTGGTTTCTTCTGTGAGTAAATCAGAATAAGATAAAAGAAGTATATACCTCTACCGAAGTGAGCTCGACGGGGAAGTCACCAGAAAACAACACATGAATAGAGGAAAGATAAAAAAAAAATAGCTTTTACTCTTGCCGGGGATTGACAGGGAAGAACTTCGGGATATCATAAAGGGTTCTTGTGCACCGAATCTAGGTATTAGGAAAGCCAACAGACCTCTCTCAGGAAGCTTGTTATCATTCTTTCTTACATCGATCGCATTAATGACGTGGTTTCAATAAAGGATGACCTAAATAGGGGACTTAAAAAATCCAACACCCGGAAAAGTATATTTCAAACCACCATCAGAACTAAAAGCAAACATACATATTTTATCTCTCGCCATTTCTTTGTTTTAAGAGACTGCTTCTTGAACTTCAGTGAAACTTAAATAAGTCGACATCCAAATGATTCAGAAGAATAGGTACCGAGAAAGTATGAACAAATTAAGCGTTCTAAAATGTTACAGCAATATGAAAAGCGATGATCGAGTTTTGATCGAATATATGGTTTTTATCTCCCTACAGCTTTTACTGCGCTTGCATGATCACATGGCGCATACATAGTCTTCGTGGCGTCTTAGGGGCTTGGTTTCCTGTTCTATCTCCACGATCCTTGTTTAAGAGAATACGAGAGAGACGGAAAAAATAATGTTCTCAATGATAAACTAACTGACTATTAAATTAACCTTTTTCGCTCGTCGTTGTTTCTCAATGTATGCCACACAATTTGAAGCACGTTTTTCCTCTGTCAGATGCTCGTCACAATGGCCGATTACGTGAGTCTGTTAATGGCGAAGACAAAATAGTTTAAATTATCAACTTTTTCTTACAGTAATTGCCGTCAAGGCGGCATACAACAGACGATGCCGTCAAGGTGTTGGATTTTCAGAAAAGATCCACGTACATATTTTCACAGCTTTGATTTTGCGGGTTGATTCACAAAAAGATAACTGGGAATTTTGAAAAAGTTATTTTGATTAATTTCTTGTTTCCTTTTCTGCGTCTAAAGATCACCCCTTTGCTATCAATTTCAAATTTACTATTTCATCCAGTTCCAGTGATTTGTGAAGAACAAAAAATGAGATTCTTTAAGAGGACAGAAAGAATTGATTTTTTTTCTCTGCGGTCATTTACGTAGAAAGATAAGGCGGACTGCTCATGTGATGGAATGTAAAGGAAAACTTTGTTTTCAATTTTTTTTTCCTCTTCATTGGAAAATCTTTACGATAATTATGAAATAATTAGTGGGTAATAATGATGCCTGTCGTAATGTCAGTAATTTTACAATTTTTTCAAGTCCCCTGGTGTCCCTGATTTCCTTTTTAAATTTACGCCACCAGTCGACAGCGAGAATGAGGCAGACAGATGGGATAAGAAGAAAGTGAAAAAAGAAACCGAACTTTCGTCAGAAATTTTCGGATGTTGTAGTAGATTCAGAAATGTTTTTAACCAGAGAGCGGACTTGAGTTAGTGTGAATTTCACCATATGGTCAATCAATTTGGACAAATTATGAACAGGCGATTAATGTTTGATTGTAAAGAAAATAAAATAGTGCCATGAAGAGAATTATCAGAAAAATCATAAGTGAACTCACCTTTTTGTGCTGAAGAATCAAACTCACACCCTTTCAAGATTTTACAAATCGAACAATTTGCATAAGACAGAAACCTCATTTTTTCTATTCATCAAACATTAATAGACCTTGATTCATGACAGTTTTCGCACTTTTAGCTGATAAATGAAACCGCATTAGAATGATGATAAAAGCATGCGTGACTGAGAACATGAGCTAACATGGTCAGCGGTGTCTCTGTGAACTGATTTTAATTTCTTCAGAGAACAAACCAGGGCTTGATTTCACTGGCTTTTTAAATTGAAGCGAAGACCTTTTTTATTGGCTAATATACGATTCGATTAATCTCTTTTCATTTACACTACTTTTCTATTGCGTGGAGTTCATCATGGTGATCAAGCCTTCAAAATACTTTTGAAAGCAAATCTACTTGTCGCACAAGGAGATTGCTGCTATAATGTGGTTCATGTTATTTGTTTTTTATCTTTCCTTGAAATATTTTGGGTTACTTCTCTTCCCGAATAATCACGAATTCCAAACAAGAGAACGGGTTTCGATTCACTACTACTCTCGAGCACTCGGGAATTAATATCCCGCAGGAGTTTCCGCGGGATTATTTTGATGAGAATCAACATTCGAGCCCAGTCTTTACACTCTGTCACTCACTCAATGATTTCTTGCATTGAATAGCGTCGAAAACAACTTGAGCGAATTTTCGTGGCTTTATTTGTGGTGCGACAGTAGACATCACATGGAGAAAGATTCCAGAGACAAAACTGCAGAAGGAGGCAGCAGTGATGAAGAAGATGCTTTCGAAAGCGCCGATGAAGGAGAAGAAGGAACCAAGCACAGTAAACATTCTACTCGTCCAGTCGCCACGTCAGCTGACATTAGATCTTCACATTCCACGTTGAAAGAATCGGTTGGTACGAATGATGCCTCGACAACCAGGCAGGTAACCTCAGGAGGTGAGATAAATTCCGAAAATGAAGAGCTAGAGAAGCGAAATTCAAATATGGATGAAAATGTAGTGCTGGAGAACATCGAAGTGGAAAACCTACGAAAAGGAAAACATGGACCTACTGTGACACATAGCGAGAGTTCACCTTCCACAGAAAACATCGTAGACGAGTATCCACAAGCTACTGAGTCAAGTAAGACTAGCGAGGAAGACACCAATACTAGGGTATCAAAGTCCTCCGACGATGAGGAAACTGCTGTTGTGAACGAGAAAGAAGACAATATCAAACTTGATTCAGAAGAACCTTCAGACCATGGCTTGACGATGGAGCGGGAACAGGATTATCGTCAGACCACAGTGAACCAGGCTGATGTGTTAGCTAAGGAAAAAACAGAAGCTACAGGAAACTCTGAGGAAAAGCAGCAGACGGTGGCTACAGAATCAAATGCCAATGATCAAGTTGAAGATATAAAGCGTGACAGGTAACAGTTTAGTTGGGGGGGAGGATAGATAGATAGATAGATAGATAGTTTATTATCAAAAACCTTGCAGCCACAGGCTGAATTACGTTTGATTTACAATAAAATATATACTACAAAAAATACATGGCTAAGAAGAACTAATTAAAAAGACAAAAATATATAATTAAGAGAAAAACAATATTACATCATTGCTTTATGGACATAGTGATGGATAAAACTATTTCGAGTACGAATGGTGTGGAGGCGCCGTGTAGTAAAAGAGTGCTGACTCCTTAAATTGACTTCGCACTCATTCTTGGGAGGTAGTAAGCTATAGAGCTTGTGCGAGGGATTAGACAGGATGGAATTAAAAAGCTTATCACATAAGAACTCGCGGCGGTTGTGTAAGGGAACTAGACCAGTCAAAAGAAGCGCCTCATTGTACGAACAATCTGGATAGATAATACGTAAAGCTCGCCTTTGACATCTCTCAAGATCTACTGAAAGGTATTGCGGGAGGCTATGATGATAAACAGGGCATGCATATTCAGTGACAGGCCTAATACAAGTCAAATAGAAGAGCAAAAGTTCCTCCGACTTGACCTGTGCACGCTTAAGCTGACGCAAAAAATACAGGCGCTTGTTTACTTTCTTTACAACTTCGGATACGTGATTATTCCACGTGAGATCGCAAGATATCTGCAAACCTAAGATCTTTGCTTGCTCTACACACTCTAAGTCCTGATCATTAACCTTAATTGGATCAAAGTTCTTTCTAGAGTGACTGAATGTTATGCGCAGTTCCTTGCACTTGGTTTCATTTAATTGGAACTTGTCAGCAGAAGCTTGCGTCGCGAGTTCGTCAACCGCTTGTTGGACTTTGCTGACCTCAGACTTCATGACTGTTTCAGAAATAGTGGAGTCATCGACATATTTCCACATGTCTGTACCCGGGATGATGAGGTCGTTTATCATAATAGTAAATAACCAGGGGCCAAGTTTTGTGCCCTGTGGGACCCCTGATGGGATGGCCCCCCACTCCGAGTAACAGTCCTGACTAAGTTTAACACGCTGTCGGCGACAGGACAGAAAGTCCACTATCCAGTCAATTATTCCGCTTGGAAGATCGTATGAAATGAGCTTCTNACTCACTTAGTCTCAGTCTGGAGATAAATGGCCCCAGCAGCAAGAGCAATGAGTTTTACTGAGTTTTGATGCCTTTGAAATTTTTATTATCCAAGTTCAAGTTTATAGGTATATTTTCAGTAGGTGTCTCATCACAGACATTCAAAGGCCATACTCATAGAGTGTTTGATGCCCCATCTCCTTTCCCTTTGTTAACTGATTCAGTTGGTCAGCCAGTTAACAAAGAAAAAAAACAAAAACAAAACAATTGTCCAACGGAGCCTAAGTGCGTGTTTGCTTGTTACATATATACCGGTAATTGTTTCTTAACCTTTCACCTCCAAGATCTTATTTGTAATTCTCCTTACTGTCTGTTTTAGAATTCTTATGATGTTAGTCTGGAGAATTTGGTTTGGATCAGCTAACAATCTCCTAATTGATATTTTCCTCTATTCTCATCACTCATCTGCTTGATATTGTATCAATATTTGAAAGGGGAAATTATGTCTTGGTCACAGATGGGAGTTATAAGACTTAACCCAAATATTTCCAATTTATTATCAAAATGTGCTTTGTAGAGTACAAATAATGCACGAGACAAGAAATATCCCCAAAATTTGCCTGCACTGAAATAACAATTTGGCCTGTTGGATAATAAATCTCTTATTAACATTTTGTTGTGTAGTATTGCTGAGTATTTTTACTTTTTCTTTGTATTTTGACTTGCCCTACAGGCTTGTCAAGATATGGTACAACTCATAAAAATACTACACAACAAAATGTCTAATAAGATATATCAATTGTGTGGGTTAGAAAACTAGGATTAAATGAATTCCATTTCAAATTAAGTCCTGATCATCTGTTTTCCCATAAAATTAAGGGGTCAATCTCACTAACTACTAAAAATTTTTTCCAGTCAGGCTGTGTTTGAGGATTCACCGGTTTCATAAATGGGTTGGTTGATAGTTGTAAAGCAAAAGAAGTAAGGTGGCCTGATGAAAGGGTGAATCTAGGTTTCTTTCAGTAAATTAAATCTAAACTTGCATAAACATTTCTTGTGAATAGTATATCAGAGAGGCCAGCACAAGAATCTTCCAATACCAGTACCTCTGGAGGATGGGCGTGGACAGGCTGGGGCTCGGCAGGCTGGGGCTCAGTGCTCTCTCAAGCAACAGCTTCTGTCACATCAGGGCTTTCTTCTGTCATTGAAACAGTTGAAACCACACTGGGTGTTCCTGACCCAGAGGAGATGGCAAGGAAAGTGAAAGCAGAAGAAAACCTAGTAAAGGAGAAATTAGCAGAAGAACAAAGTTCTGGACATTTAGAGGAAAGTAAAGGTGACACAACTTCTGAAGGTCAGTAAATTAATACCAGCAGATCTAAATACGTGCATCTGTGTTTGGTTTGTGTGCATTTGTGTGCGTTTGTGTGGAGGTGATATCTGTACTTTAGTTATAAAGTTTCTGGACTATTATATTGAATTTTTTTATTCTTTCTCTCTTTGGTTTGGATACCGGTACAAAAGGATTTGATACCTACACCAAACAGTTTCCTTTGAATCTGTTCAAGTTCTTGCTTTCTGGATTACAAGCTCTCATTTCCGTACATGAAAATGGCTCCTCAGTAGTACAGGGGTTGAAAATCTTGTGCAACGATCAGCTTTGATTTGCTTCTGAAAAAATTAATACTTACTCATATTTCAAGAAGAGCTGTTAGAAATTGTGAAGGAATGTGGGATCTTAACAGGAATTGTTTTCTAAGGGAGTTGGAAAAC